CCTTGAGATCCACCAGTGGAGATGGTTGCTAAGCCATTGTGAGGCTCCTTACAATGGGTTTAGGGTCACGTGGCTTATGGGATGGTACATGGTGGGCCACACAACAGCCTGGCTGGTGAAGTTTCACAGAAGCTCACGTGGGGACAGAAATGTGTTGTTGCAGTTTTGCTGGGTAGACCCAAATCCGACAGTCCTGCGTCCTGCATCCACTTCTGATGAGCTGTGTGGTGTTACTAAGTTATGTTCTCAGACCCTTCAGCTTCATCTACAGAGTTGAAAAAAACAGTGCTCCTTGCAGGGCGTGGGGGGACTGTTCAATGGCGTGTGCTGGGGCCCAGGGCCATGCCCATCACACGGAAACACTGCCACCACCCCTCCCCCCACTACAGCTGTTTGTTGTGACTGCCATTTCTTTCTGCCTCATGTGTCCCCCTTTGAGCTGTTAACCTCTCACGTTGTCACTGTGGTTGGGATGCAGCTGAATTCAGGAGCCTGTTATTTTAGTGTACAAAATTGTATTTCTGAATTGCCCACAGAGATGTTCTTAACAGAAAAATTAAGCACTATAAACAGTAACTGTGCAGTTCTCTCAAGCTTAGTTTGATTCATTGTGATCTAGCAGACTCATCCCATTCTTAAATACCCCAAGAAATCCACTCCACTCTGGTCCTCCTACTAGGCTGCCTTCGTCTGTTTGTAACTTTTTTGGTCTTGTCTTCCCATTAATTGTCATTCCAATCTGTTCTCTGTTCTATTTGTGATGGCCTGTGTTGGCAGAAAAATTGCCCGAGTGATGGAGCAGAATTTTCTCTCCTGCAGCCCAGCCCAGCTGGAGAGCTGCTCGTCCATGGGTATGGGGGTGAGGGGAGGTGGGGGAGGTGGTTTGCTCCTGGAGCACTTGGTTTGCTCCTCTCCTCCCTCCCTTGTGTGGTGGCTCCTCTCCAGCCCCATCCTTGTCTGGGCTCCGGCCTCTCTCCCAACCTTCCAGAGGCTTCTTTCTGTCTCCACTCATATTTACCCGTTGCCTGTCTTTTTCATCCTCAGTTGGATTAGAGGGCAGAATAGTCTATAAAGATGTTGTAGAGAGATTTTTGTAGTCTTTTTCTGAGCTTGAAGATTATAGCTTTTTGAGGTTTCTTTGAAGTTTTGAGGTCTGTGTCCAAAAAGGAGGCACATTTCAGATGTAATTTTCAGCTTTTTTTTTGCTAAGTGCATATCCTAGATCCTTCCAGTTCGAAGACGTTGCAGATTTGTATTTTCATGGATTCCCTTGAAGTGGTTCCCATTTTTGAGCCAAGAAAATAGAGGTTCAAAGGGTTGTGTGAGCTGCTCAGATTCTCTCACTGTGGTGGGAAGGATGGCAGCGTGAAGGCCCCATACCTGTGTCTTCATAGCATATCATTCAAAGGAAGATACCTCCCACTCGCAGCTTCTCCCCTAGAGCTCGTAGAGGGAATCTCCTACAAAGACTGTGTGTGACCCTTCTGGTATCTTCTGTCTGGATCAGCTACTGTTGATGGGATGCTTCCATTTCTGGCCATGGCTGGATTAGGGCTACCCCTGGTCCTGTCAGAGCCAGCTGGGTGGAGAAGGAACAAGGAGAAGGGGGGAGCTTGGCTTTACGACACCCTCCCCTTGCAGTCCAGGGCTCTGGATCACTTGCAGAAATGGAGACATTAGCATTGTGTTAGGGTGAACAAGGACTGGTATTTCCAAGGCAAAAAAGAACCCGTGTCCTTTGGGAGCTAGTGGTATTTGTGTAATTTGCTGATGATGGGAGCTTTCCCTAGGGAAGAGCAGGGTACATCGTGTCCCAGGTTGTGTGTGAATGTGTGAGTCAGAGTGACACGGATAGTATTTAAAATACTTTTGGGCATCTGGCCTTCACCCATCAGAGGATGACCTAGGGGCTGAGTGACCGTGGTCTTGAGCACCGTGCTTGCTCACAGGCTCCGTCTGACCTAGAGTCTAGGACAAGTTGCTGACAAGTGTGGGTTTAGGTTTTGCAGTGTCTGTGTTCATAATGTGAGCCCCCTTGCAGACCTGCAAGCCCCATAGTGTGGTGGAGAGCTTTTCTAGATGGTGCCCATGGTGTTGGGGGAGTGGACAGCGGGGAGGGGAAGCTCCTTCAGCTGTAAACAGCTGTGGGCTGGGGCTTTGAATGATGGGATTTCAACAAACCAAGAGTTGATGGTCGCATGTGACTTTGGGGTGATAGAGTTTTTGGTAAACATGGTGTGTAAACTGAGTGAAACATTTGGCTCTGTAACTTATTACTTCATTGCCTTAATATTTACTGAGAGTTTATGACTTGCTAGAGCCTGTGTGAGCTGCTGTGGATGAGATAGCAGTGAAATGAGAATTCTGTCTTCAAGGAGCTGATACTCCACTAAGGAATCTAAGACCTGTGCGTAAGTTGCTCTAATAACACAAGCTGTTTCTGTTGAACAGGTGCCAGGTCCCAGGCATTGTGACAAACACTTTATATGTAAGAACTCATTCTTCCAGGTAATCGTGCAGCTTATGTGTTCTGGTTGTTCCCATTTTAGGGATGAGGAATTTGAAAACTCAGAGAGGTTAAAGATTGGTAAAGATTACTCAGCCAGACGGTGTAGAAGTTCCTGGCCCATCTGACGTCCCACCCGTGGCCCTGCCATGCGGCCTGTCTTCCTGGTAGAGACTACGTGCTGTGAGCGTGGGCCATAGGGTGGATAAGGTGTTGGACGCTGAGGAAGAGTTCTTGCTTTCAGCCCACAGTGACTAGGGGTGACATACTGTGGAAGAGGCAGCATTTGAACTGACAATTTGGGACATCACAAAGGTGGTTGTCAGAGGCAAGAGAATCGGAAATGCACAAAGATGAAGAAACACAGAGCAGAATGGGGATTGACAAGGGATATATTTTGGCAGGACACAAGATAATAAAACTATTGTTAAAAACTCACTAATTCAGCTTTTTTTTTTTTTTTGTTAGCTAATTGGGAACTCATTTCCACAGTAGACACCTCAGACCTGTCAATTTAAGTAGACTTGTTTGCAAATGGAACAGTGTCCCAGAAAGTAGAGGGCCAGGCACACTTAAATGTGAATCCTGACATTGTTCCTTATTTGAAAAATCAGTCAAAATTTTTTTGAAAAAACAAAAACAGAGTTGTGTTTTTAAACTGTTTTACTGAAATTAGATTCTGGAGGTGGTGGGGGATGGGTGAAATAGGTGAAGGGGATGAAGGGTCCATGTATCTTGGGCCCTGAGGAATGTAGAGAATTGTTGAATCCCCATATTGCACACTTGGAACTAATAACACTGTATGCTAATTATACTGGAATTAAAACAATAAGTAAAAAGTTAAAACGAAAGGAAACAAACACATAGTTTGAGTTGTTATAAGGTAAACCTCTTCAATCCATCACCTGAATCAAATGCCAGAGCATCGCCAGCTGAGTAGCCTCTCATCATCCTTACCCCCAAAGGAAACACTATCCTGATGTTTACTAATCACTAGATAGAATAGTTAATTCTTGCCCATTTATTTAAATAGAAGTTTCTCTTAATGTACAAGTATTCACATTCTTTCCTTTTCCTTGTAATGTATATGTTGAAGAACCTGGGACGTCTGACCCAAAGAGCTTTCTGTAGCGTGGGCTTTGTTGCTTGCACACTTGTGGCTGGGGTTTAACCTGTTCTTCTGTGCCCCTCCCTCCTAAAAATGGGCAGCTAGATGCAGAAGCTTGATCTGGTTCATCTCTGATCCTTCTGGCATATCCAGTGGTGGTCTTGTGTTCTTACCTCACGAGACAGGGAATGTCTGGCTGTTTCTCTTTTTGTGATGTTAGAAATCGTTCATGCTCATTGCCTAGGTCAGTGGTTCTCAACCAGGGGCAATTTTGCCCCCACCCTTCCAAGGGACCTTTGGCAGTTTGTGGTTATTATAGCCTGGGGGGAGGTTGCTACTGGCATCTTGTGAGTCGAGGCCAGAGATGCTGCTAAATCTCCTGCATGCACAGCACAGCCCCAACATAAGGTATGTCCAGCCCCACGTCTCTGTAGTGTCAAGGTTGAAAAATCCTGGGCTAGGGGTTGTAAAATAGTATTCCAGTTTTATCCCTTGTTTTTCATTTAGTTAGAATACTTTTATAAAGATATATGTTGCCTTATTATTTGGTCATCGAGCTGTGCAGTTCAAATAAGAAATGGAGTTTAAATGCTTGATTCTTTTTTTTTTTAAGATTTTATTTATTTATTTGAGAGAGAGAGAGAGAGAGCATGAGAGGGGGGAGGGTCAGAGGAGAGAAGCAGACTCCCCGCCGAGCAGGGAGTCCAATTCGGGACTCGATCCCAGGACTCCGGGATCATGACCTGAGCCAAAGACAGTTGCTTAACTGAGCCACCCAGGTGCCCATAAATGCTTGATTCTTTTATTTACCAGTTTTCAGGAAAATGAGTAGATTCTTATCCTCCACGGGGAGCCGTTTACTTTTTGAAAAAAATTATGAACACATGGATTAAAAAGGGATTTAAATTGGATCTGTTCACTATGGATTTAAACCTACTTGAAGAATGTCAATCAGTTGCAATTACTATCACTCTTCAAGTTTGAACTGTCTCCTCTTTAGCCGGTGGGAGCCTCTTGAGTCGGGTGTGGAGGCTTCTGACACCATCCTTGTCGTCTTGGTCTATTTCCTTGTTCTCCCGTGGAAGGAGAGGTTCAAAGCTCATCTGTCCATTTCCGGCCACTGAGTTGGCATCCTTGGTTTCTTTGAGAAGCCCTGGTTTCTTTTCACTAAAAGGGCGAGTGATAACTCAGGACCATGGTCTGGACATCAGGGATGCCCATTATTCTGTGTTGGTCATTGTTTCTCCATCTTTTTTTGGGATCCACCTGTAAAATTGTCTGCTTTCCTTTTGTTCAAAACCAGTGCTTGAATTCAATTTCAGGAAAACAGATTTAAAGTACTCTATATTATCTATGTGCTAACATCTTGAAATTTTGCTCTTTTAGATGGAATCAGTGTGAGTGGCTTTCCACTGTGCAGTCCCTTCCGACAGGTCGTTAGGCCTCGAGTGGAGAGCAAGCCCGTGAACCCACCCGAAGGCAGCAAGCCGGGGGACCTGAGCCACGTGAAGGTGAGTCCGTCTGCTTGGCAGCTTGGTGTTCATGGGGGTTTCCGCCATGCCTTCAGAGGCGAAGTGTTGGGTGTTTCTCGGAAAGGGAAGGACGCATGTGTTAACAGAATCGTGTTCGTGGGGAGCTGGTGTTTCAGTATTTTCCATTCTGTGGAATGTTCTGGAAAGCATTTACAGTGTGGCTTGTGTGGCTGTGTTGTTGCTAACTCTCTGTTCCATGAAATACTGGGAATTTGGGGGTTGAGTCAAGGAGTACAGTGATTAAAGTGGAAAATTTCCTACCTTTTCCCTGATCATTGAAAAATGTATTTATTGCCTAATCATTCTCAGTTCAGGTATTCATCCCATAAACTTAAGCCTTTGGGAGCTCCTTCCACTAACTGGTTTCTAAGCCCTGAGGAAGACCGAATAAGTATACAACATCCATACAGAGGTACCTTAGGGTTTCTGGTGGAGTAGAGACTGCTATTTCCAAGGGCCCTAGGAGAGGCCTGAACTGGAGCTTGAAGCTTTGGGGACAACTTCAGTATTTGGGAAAGCTCTGCTTGTCCGCACCCACCCAGGGACAGGGTGTAGTGAGAGGACCAGAGGTCTTCACAGCGACGGTGGGGGTACAAGCAGCAAGGTGCCCGGGATGACCTGTCGAGTAAGCACGTGTTGAGGCCCAGCCTTGTGAGGTACATGCTGGCATATCCGAGGGGCCGTGACTGGTGAGACCCATCAGGAGAGCTTGGCCATGCTGGTTGTGAGTCTGGTACAGCGAATCTGGAGCATGGATGCTATCTGAAGTGAGGTCAGGGTAGGAGGGAAACAAGCTGCTTTTCCTTGACTGAGGTCCTGTCCGTGGATGGCAGTTACGAGGAGGTAGGTTTTAGGGGAGAGTCTTGGCCACTGAGGGCCCTGCAGGGAAGAGGTGTAGCTGGGAGCTGTGCTGCAGCAGGAGTATTCACGCTGTAGCTTGATTGCTGGGTGTCAGGGCTCCCCTGTGAACCAATGGGACTGGGGTGTGGGGAGATGCTTCCCACCCGAGGAAGGAAGGCACGGAGGCGTGAAACAGGACTCAAGTGTGGAACCACAAAGCACTGGATTTGTGGCACAGTGATGGCGAAGCTGGAGCACTGACGTCCTCGTGGGCTCTTGGGTGTGACATCCCCTGGAGCCTCCTGATAGGCAACTCTGGACGGTTAGCGGTTCTCCTGCCCAGGCCCCTCAGCACTCCAGCTTCCCTGTGCAGTTCAGCTCCGCCGCCATGTGGCCTTCCCGACGGGGCACTCTTGGAGTTGGGGGCCGAACTTTGACATCCAGGAGGTCATAATTCAGCCTCTTGGGGTAATGGTGGCTGTGGCATCAATTGTGTTTTCTTGAATCGAGCGTCGCAAGGCTGAACGCGTTGTATTTCTTAGATAAATGTGGATAGATGTAGATGAGCGTAAATGTCCTGAAAGGTACTCACTGAAACGTAGTTACCGTCTGCTGAGGACATCCTTGTGTCAGGCACTTGTGTAGAAATTGTCCTTCTACATTCTCACGACAAATTTTTGAGTGGATGGTCTCCTCTAAAGAGAGGACCGCGGCTCCAGGTCATGTGACATAACCCGTCCCCCGCTCCGGCCCCTCTCCATTGTACTGTGACACTGTCTTTCCCTGTATCCTCTCCTGAATTTTGTTGTGAACAGCCTCAGTGTGTCTTTTTAAAAATTGTAATCCCAGTGTAGTTAACATACAGTGTTGTATTAGTTTCAGGTGCACAATACACCGATTCAGCAATTCTGTAATTACTCTGTGCTCATCATGACACGTGTACTCTTAATGCCCATCATCTGTTTTCCCCGCCCTCCACCCCACCCGCCTGCGCCCCGGTAACCACCAGTGTGTTCTGTACGGCTAAGAGTCTGTTACTTGGTTTGCCTCCCCCTTTTTTTTTTCTTTTTCTTTTTTTCCTTTGCTGATTTGTTTTTTTAAATTCCACATATGAGTGAAATCATAAGGTATTTCTTTTTCTGACTTATTTCACTTAGCATTATACTCTCTAGCTCTATCCGTGTTGTTGCAGTTGGGAAGATTTCATTCTTTTTTATGGCTAATATTCCATTGTGTGTGTGTGTGTGTGTGTGTGTGTGTGTATCCATTCATCTGTCGGACACTTGGGCTGCTTCCATCATTCGGCTGTTGTAGATAACACTGCAATAAATATCAGGCTGCATGTATCCCTTTAAATTAGTGTTTTTGTAGCTTTTGGGTAAATACCCAGTTCAAGTTGCTCGGTCATAGGGTTGCTCTAGTTTTAACTTTTTGAGGAACCTCCATACTGTTCTCCAGAGTGGCTGTACCAGCTTGTGTTCCCACCAACAGTGCGTGAGGGTTCCCCTTTCTCACCAACATCTTTGTTTCTTGTTTGTTGATTTTAGCCATTCCTGACAGGTGTAAGGTGATATCTCATGGCAGTTTTGATTCGCATTTCCCTGATGATGAGTGATTTTGAGCATCTTTTCAGGTGACATCCAAATGGCCAACAGACTTCTTTGGAGAAATGTCTGTTCATGTCTTCTACCCATTTTTAATTGGATTATGTATTTTGGGGGCTGTTGAATTATATAAGCTCTTTATATATTTTGGGTACCTCAATTCCCACATCCATGCCCTTAGGATTTGGCCCCCACTGGACTTTGGTGTTCAGTTTCCATGTCTCAGCACTTTGAAGTATACCCATCACCCACATGAAAACTTCTGCCACTTTCCTCAGAGAGCCTGGAGGCCCTCCTCAACTAGTTTCTTACCAAGAAAACTGGAAGGAAAAGAACTAGCATTTGTGAAGTGTGTTCTGCAGGCCAGGAACTCTGCTGGGTGCTAAACACTCACACGTGTACACCGGCTGGGCAAACACCCTACTAGGTGAGTAGGGAAACAGGTTTACGGAGGTTATGTCACTCGCCCAAGGTCATAGGGTTAGCAGGTGGGGGATTGAGGGTCGGAATCCATGTTCCTTCTACTAATCTTACCCTGGGGTTGGACCCTGAGCAGGACAGGCTCCTGTGTGTGGAGGACAGCACTGAGGTGACAGACACTTGACATGGGCGGGTGGGAAGGGGTGTGTGAGCATTCACAGGCACACAGGAACAGCCCTCTCTCTTCGGAGGCCTCGTGGTGCTGGTAACCTATGAAGTGAGGCAGTTTTTCCTAGTTGTGGAGGTGAGTCTTCTGTGGTTCGGTTGTACTCCTGGGGAGTGGGCGGGAGTTGTGCTCTGGGGGCATCTGTCATCTGGGCTTCTTGGCTCTGCTGAGCTTGTTCCCCAGTTCTCCCAGAAGCAGGAATAACGTGACCTAATTGGAAATGTGCTAAACCTGTAAAATTATCGCCCAAGAATGGTGTAGTCATGGAAACCAGTAATTCAGTGAAAGCAGCTTCTAGGGAGCCCCTCCAGAAGTGGGAGATGGTACCATGTGTTCCTTGAGATTTCCCAGGAAGGTTGCTTCCCATTCCACTAGCTCTGACCGTGTCTATCCGTGTTGGTGACTGGTTTTCCGCGCAACAACGTGAAGAATTTCTAGGGTTGAGACTAGAGGTGTGTGAAATGGCTGCATGTTAGAAGTAATATTCCTGCAAGTCAGGCTCTACATGTGGCCTGTCCTGACCCTCAATTTCCCATCTGTAAAATGGAGTAACCTTCCTTTGTAGGGTATTTGGGAGGTTTAACTAATGTCAGAGCTTGGCAGGGGGCAAAAGCTGGACCAAATCAAGAAGTAATAACAAACAGATTTTATTCTTGTATATTAAAAGAAAAGATTTGATTAAGTGAGTCCTGCTGGTTAAAAGGGAGCAGCTGGGGATGGGTGGGGTCCGGGGGTCACTGACTGGAGTAAGTCATCTGCAGTTACTCCTGCTTAGCCCGGCTTCCCCAGGGTTGGCGAGGCTAGTACTGACCCCTGAGTTACAGCCTGTGTGCACACAGTGTGGCAGCAGGACTGGAGTGGCCAGGGCTCCACTGAAGCCCTCCCGAGGTACCAGGACCTGGGCTGGCCCGCTGTGGGCTGGCGGAGTGAGTGGGAGGCTTCTCCCCTGAGTGGGCCTGTGCTGAGTGTATCAGTGAGGGTCCCTGCCTGTTGGGAGCGTCCAGCTTCAGCCTCCAGGGCTAGACTACACAGCAAATGTGGGAGCTGGCTGAGCCCTGGCACGAGCGCACAGACGCTGCAGCCGTTCCTTGAACGTGTGCTCTGGCTGCTAACCACGGCCTGCCCTCCGCCGATAGCATGCTCCGCGCACACCCCGTGCCTGCTGAAGGCCTGCTGGAGAAGAACCCGGGAGTCCTAACCAAACCGAGGTTTGCGAGAAGGGGCGGGAATGGGTCTGCTTTTGGGCTCTGTGCGTATCTGGCTCCTGGGAGCTTGTTGGTGCATGCCTGCCCTGGTCAACAACATCTTATCTTTAAAAATCCCAGAGAATAGGTGTAATGACTGTAGCCGCCCTGGCGGCAGCTTCACCCAGGGCACGTCTGCTGGGAGCCGGGTATTGTGCTGCTGCTTTCCATGGAAGCTTGGGTTTGAGCTGGAAGCTTGGTGCTCATGCACCTTCATTTCCTCTGTTCTCACTGCTGCCCTGACACCCTGCACAACCCAGCCCCGGTCCTAGTCACCCACTCACAGCACCCAAGCCTTGCTTTCCTGACCTGCGGTTTGGGGAGAAAATCTGTTCTCCCGCTCAGTTGTTAGTGAAGAGCCATTGAAGGACTACTTGGACAGTTTGGGTAGGAGGAACAACAGTGAGGGTTGCCTGAGTTGGGGAGTGCAAGGGTGTGCTGAAGGCTCGTCAAGCGCCTTCCTGGTTAGGGAGTAGCAGAGCCCCCCAGCCTGGACCCTGCCTGACTTTCCCACACGGGCCGGCGTTCTGTCGTGTGGACTTGCCAGGCTTGGCCGCACCTCACGCTTCAACTGCGCACCCCCCTGCACGCGCTGCAGGCTGCCACCTCGTCCCAGGAGCCTCCGCAGAGACTCTGCTCCGATTT